TAAGCTACTTTTAACAACTTTTAACAATAACAATGAGTGCAATAATGCGCCCCCCCCCCCCCCCAAGTTGCTTCGTAATACTCGATATCGCGATTACTTAACTTAGCGGAACTCTTCCGCAATGGAGGTAGGAAACGTCTGTTGGGTGGGGGCAAAGTGCTATTGAATACAATGCAAGATCGATCATTGTAGACTTTATAACGACAGTTGAGTAAAAAATAATCCTGGTGGAATACCTTGCTAAACAATAGCTGAACTAGCCTAATAATTTTTTTTAGAGGAGCCAATCCTAAATTGTTACATTTTTAACGATATTTTTATCTAAGCGGAATCTTCTTGTTAAATTTTTATTGAAATACATTTATAGCAGATAAAATATTCTAAACTTTCCTTATTTGACAATCTACTATTTGGAGTTAAATTTATGGCAAAACAATATGCTTTCGGCAATTAAATTAATCGAATCAATCGATCTTCACTACTGTAAACAATGTCATTTGCCCCAGAAATTTAGACCCTTCTCGACTCCCCCGCAAAAGAGCGGTAGTAAGTCAGATAACTGCGAGGTACTCATTGTTATCCGCGATATTACGTATTGAAGTGAGCGAGATTAAATATTTTATCCTACAAAAATGACAAATATATTTTATAAACTATCCAATATTGTCTAAACTTGCCCGCAAGTTCTGTTAACGTAGGTCGCGGGTTTACAGGGCTTTTAAAAGTGTTTGAAAACATACCATGAAAATTACTTATATGATTTCTCTACCTTTGATTTCCATTCTCTGAAAATTTTATAAAATTCGTCTGCACCGTTTTTGTGTAATTGAATTCCAAAGATGTCATTGTTGTAGTAACATTTTCAACGGTATTCTATTGAATTGTATAGGAAAAACGTCATTTTTAGCTTGTTTTCAGGCAAGGTTTTGATTAGAAAAATATGAATAACTTTTAAATCGTGCAGACGAATTTGTTTATCCTTTGGTATTTAAAAATAGAATTGATTTGAAATAAATCTATATGAAAAAATTAATATGTCTTCGGGTTCATTTTTTCGTAATTTAATTGTAGATAATTGCTTTTATATTGAAAAATGTAGCATTTTTAAGAACAACGTCATAAAATATCGCGACTTCACGCTTGATGTCGTGAATATCAATTCTATATACAGAGCAAAAAAAAAAATTATACGGATTTTAAGAAAAAGAAAATTCACGTATATCTGCTTTCAAATGACCAGTATCATAATAATTCAAGAAAATAATTATTAGACATTTTCCCCTTTAAGCTAATTACGTCTAATATTAATGAAAATTCACGTAAAAGGCGTTAACCAACAATCAGTCCTTTAGTTACTTTTTTTATATTTTCTTTATGTGTTTATTTCTTACCGTTTCTTTTTTTTTTTTATTCATGCGCGGATTCTCGCCGAAATTTGCAAAATGAAAGTGACCTTGTATTCCCCTCTGGAAAAGGCAGACCCCCCTCCCCGTTGAAATCGTTGAAGTTTGTTTGAAAAGTGGTAGGTATGAAGACAATTTAGAAGTCAAGGACTACTAACATCCCCAATTCCCAACCCCGAAATATGTTTTTTACGATTTGTATATATCCCTTTTCTTTAGAAAATTCAGCATGGCTATCAAATCAACAATAACTTCTTATGAATCAATTTCCGCCAAATATCCTCCCGAGTATAAGTATTAATACATTCAGTGTTCATATTGAAAATGTTTTTGTTTAAGTTTACAAAGAGGCAGCGAATAACTAAAATTAATCTTAACTTGATTTTATTTTATGCTTATACGTATAAGGATAGAAAAAAAGCGAATTTTTAGAGGGGTAAATGGGACGATAATTTGAACATTAATTTTATTTGGCGCGATCAACAGGAAGATTTTATTTTCTTATTAGATTTTCAATGTATATTTAAAAGAACATTAATTCTACTGAATGAACATGGAAAGCAACGCAGCGAATAAAAATATGCACAAGTAACTAACAACAACGCGTGCCGTTACTTACACAAGCAATTGGAGTATCGACCCCCCCCCCCCCCTCTGTTTTTCTGGGGGGTTTCCTATTTTGGCTTTTTAATACGTTTTGCATGTTATTAATAAAGTTAACCTTTTTATCTCTTTGCGCTGTTTTTAATCTTCACTTGCATGATCACTATCTAAAGCGTAGAGAATCATGGGATATGCAGAAATTAGAATTCTTCCTTTTCAGATTTCCATTTATATAATTCTTTATATGCCTCCGATTAGTAAATATTTCGATTAAATCAACATGCACATATAGGATGGATAGAGTTAAAATTTAAAAAATTGGAAAAAGTTTACTCACCCCCGGCGTTAGCGAGTAAAAAAGTGGAAAGGGGGAAGGGGGTCATATCCTACGTGCCTGTGGTTATTTACAAGAGGTCAATGCCGCTCAAAAAATGAATTTAGTTTAATTGTGTTTCATTATTAGTATTGCTCTGGTAGTGCCTTGGCAGTTTTTAATTTGTGATCAACCTGTATATAGATTTGTCCGAGATTAGCACATACCGTTTCATAATTGAATTCGACTTTCCATCGGTGAGCAGAGTTTTGACGCTGTTTACGGAGATAAATGAAAACAAAAAACTTGCATGTCAATGATGCCATATATGTTTGTGTAAATAAATCATTGTAGAAGACAATGGTAATAAACAGCTTGTAATAGTGCATTTCCACTGAAAGTGTACACTAAAATGAGTGCGTTTCTGAGGAAGGGATATAGAGTGAAATTCGGAGTTAAATAATCTGTTTTATAATTATACACATTTAATACATGTATTAAATATTTATAAATCATACATGATACAATCAGAATAGACCCGAGAAGATGCGATTGATAACACATAATGACACGCTTTCTAACACTTTCAGTGATGGTCATTCGAATCAAAATGAGCCTTCATTATTTTTTATAACTTCAACATGTTCTATGTATACTGTTACACTAAACTACGGTACCAATTTCAACAAAAGTTATAGCTAGATAATGTACTGAATTTTTCCCTTTCTCATCGTAACGTCATGATCAGATGTGCACAAGAAAGTCGCCCAAATCATATAAATTGCGTACCCAGTTTTAATGACGTCAGCAAACCCGCGACCTACGTTAAAAAGGGTTTGAACCAAACTTCCCATTCAACCTCTCCTATAAATCTTTGAGTTAGGTACTGTGCATCACTTAATTTTCGCGAGACCTTATTATCGCGAGATAGCCATTGACTCTTGATTATCGAGACAAAATTTTCACGAATTGTGGTTATTGCTCTATATAATTTTAAGGAATGCTATTTTACGCGCGAATTAATTTTTTGCGAGCACACAGTCTCGCGTAATTCCGCGAAAATAAATTTCTCGCCTCTAAAAAGTGATTTACAGTACCGTATATTTTAGATTTATATTGCATCTTGTCAAAAAGGTACATTAACTTAGTTAAAACAAAACAAAAATTATAAGTATTAAAAAAATGCCTCGAAGAGAATAGTTTTATCTCTGAAAAATGGTATTAGTAATTTATATCAGCTTAGACCCTTAACATTAAACCTAGTAAATTAATATTTTTTTAAATTTACCAATTTATTACTTTAAAATATACAAATTTACTTGAGATGTACAAGAAGGATATGGAAATAACGAATAGTATTCAATCTCAACGTCCATTAAACAATATACAAAATAAGAGCAGAGCAAACACGGACCTCCGAAACATCAGAGGTGGGATCAGGTGCCATGGAGGAGTGAGCATCCCCTGCCGACCGGTCACACCCGCCGTGTGCTCGTTGTCATAATCAGGAAATAACAATTCATTCCAAGAGAGCATGGTTCTTTGTATGTTCTTATTTTTAGAATTTTGACAAGAATTTTGGTAAATCTTGATATTATTAAAACTGGGGTATACTTGTCCAAAAGACTGCTTTGTAAAACTTACCTGATCAGACGGAGGCTTTATGCCTCCGCTCTATTGGTATCGCTCATCTGTGGCGGAAGGGAATTTGCGATCGCCATCTAGCGGCAAATCATGTTAACTTTGATAAGCCTGGACCCCCGGTTCATCCTTTCCAAGGCAGGAGTATGCGATTGGAGTACACGAAGCAAAACAGTGACAGGGAACCAGGCTAAACTTTGATAAACTGTCCTGCCTGTCTGATATCGGATATGCACTGTATACAGACAGGTGATCAGTAATGTTTAGAGTCCGCTGCTGACACGCTCATTGGCTGATAAAAACTCTCGCTGACATAGAATTTAAATTATCGGGGAAACCAAAACAGATCACAGAGTGCAGTTCTCTGCATCTGCTTTTGATGCAATTAATCTAATTTGGTCACACTATTTTCCACATACAATACATAATTCTTTTCTTTTCTCATGGACCTATAATTATCTCAAACCTTTCACCTCGCCTGAGGATTTTTTTATTAGTTTGCGAGAGTCCTATCACATTAATACCCTACCCCAGATAGCATGACTATGTTGGGCCAACGTTGGCGCACAGTTGTTGACTGCGTTGGTCCAACGTTGGCTACCTAGCGTTGGCCCAATGCAAGTTTGCTCATCGGCCCTACGTTGGCCCAACATGTTGGCCCAACGTTGGCACAACGTTAGCCTATTTTATTACAGCATTTGGTCAACGTTGGCCCAACATTGGCCCAACGTCAATTACCAGCAGTGATTTTATCAACAAAGGCCCAACATTGGCCCAACGTACTTTTTGTGTTGGCCCAACAATGGCCCAACGTCCGTTCACCAACATACCATTGGTGGCTCAATGGGGGTCCAGTGTCCGGTACCCGTGTTGGTCAAACAATGGTCCATTATTATTTTACGGATAGTTATTTTTTCAACGTAGGGCCAACAGAGGCCCAACCTATCCTATATAAATAATGATTTCCATTCAAAATTAAGCCATCTTGACAAAAATTAATAACTAGCTAATGTTGACAATGAGGCAAAAGAAAAAAGTGATAAACTGTACAATTTATTTGTTAGTTTCTAACAAATTCTGTTAAATTTGCTTCAATATTATAACAATAATTAAACAAAAACATTTGCCAAAGCTTACAGAGTTTAAGAATAAATATAATAATACGTCTTGCTTTCACGTCTCTGCCTTAAAATGTATTCAAGATGTCGATTTATACTCCACACTTCCTCTGCATCACTTGCTTCTACGATTGACTGGATTCGGCACACAGTCAAATCTAAAACGTTTAATATAATGAGGGAGTTGAAATTTCAATTTCAAACACAATCTTCTTTCAAACATCATCTAACATCAATTCCAGAACCATCCCTTTGTTCACAAAAACTTGTAAAATCCCATAACTATAGAATATAAAGGAGCTTAAAGTTCACAACACAACTTGGCAATATTTGAATTTCAATTTTTATCAATCCCTCTTTTCAGTAAAATATTGTTTAAAGACACAAATAGTATAATCCAAGAGCATTTGAAACGTCCTTCTTTAGTCTTGTTCGGATTGCAATTGTTTTTCACATACAAGTGTATTCACTTTTTTCCCATCGTCTTCCTCCTTCTTCATTGTCATCAATGAACCAGTATGAAGTTCTATATCTGCTGCAAATTAATGCACACTTACACAGCACATTTCCCCGTCTAAGAACAATATATAGCTGTTAAGAAAAGTGAATATATTAATATTTTTGAAAATTGATGAAATATTTATTTTTTTGATTAACTCATGATGCATTTAACCCTGTTTAAATACTAAAGAATTTACCATTAAACACACCTTACCATATATACTGAAATTTTCTTATCTATTTCATTTCTCATCATGATATACAATGTAAGATATTATGTCTTTCATATAAACTGAATCATTTTATAAAAGAAGTAGCTATAGTTTTCAAATATAATAATACTTTACTTACATTTCTTTTAGGATTTCGCCGTTAGCCGTTGTGTGCACCAAATTTTTAAAATCCCAACCTTACTGTAACTTCCTCTGCATTTTGAGTTTATCAGCCAGCTGTGAGTAATTAAACTTGACAGCTCTCCACATTTTGGTGTTTTAAATTTGCTGCGACTCTTTCAGTTTTAGCGACTCGCCTAACTTTTGTTTGAATGCAATTATAAAGCTGGCTGGGTTATCTTGATTTATGCGTCATTCACATCCCGTCCCTGGGAACTTTTAGTTTCCATATTATGCTAACTTTTATTCGGTTGTTTATATATTACCGGGTAAACTAATGTAAGAAAAACTTTTATTTAGTCTCCTTTTATAATGGCTTTTCGTTAATTGTATACGAGAGAAACAAATCTTACAATTACACTCAAAGTTTAAGGTTAATTAAGATTTCAAAATTTATAAACAGACACTATATAGAGAAGATTTTTTGAGAAGTGGATACTAATAACAGAAAAGTATAATTGTCATCAATAAACCATAGTGAGTTTAGTCTCATTGCTATGGAAGAAATTAATGATCTTTTCATAAAAGCCTAGTGTATAACAAACACTGGGCCAACGTAATGCCCCCAACTCATGCACATCCTCCTTTAGTTTGCAATCTAACTGTTGGCCCAACAATGGCCCAATGTACTTATTCTAACTCTAAAAGAACACTTAAAACAAACACTCAAGCTTACATTGGGCCAACGTTGGGCCAACATACTGCTACCAGATTAAGTTGACAGTTTGGTTAAGGTTGCATTACAAACGTTGGGCCAACAGTGGGCCAACATTGAACCCCAACTTCATTAGAAAATATAACGAAACGAAATTAGTTGATGTTGGACCAACGTTGGGCCAACGTAAGAAACCCAACATGGTTGGGTACTAAAGAGGTTATTCACATGGTAACGTTGGTCCAACGTTGGCCCAACATTGTCTTCCCAACGCCAACTAAAGACCAACCGTACAACCTTTAGCCAACGTTGGCCCAACGTAGTCATGCTATCTGGGACATTACCTAGAAAGAAGAAATCTGCATCACTGTTTAATTGAAACTGACATATTTTAAATGTTCACTCACTGACTCAGCAGAGAGCTGCGGCTTATCTGTTTATAGCACAGGTTCAGAATTCACATGTTTCAGAAGAGCTTGCAAACTATATAGAAGGAACAAACTGACCCACATGTTTCTATGTTTACATGACTAAAATGTGGCTTGAATCTTACTTAGTGGTGTAAATTTAGTAATATTATTGCTAACCTGTGCAAAAAAGGAAGCGATAAAACACGGGTATCCATAACACACTGTTGTCATGGAATCTGCAATAGTGACTCAAAGTATGCCCACAAAAAATATAGTCAAAGAGTTGTACTAGATTTCCCAAACCTTGGAGAGATATTGAAAAAGTATCGAGGATGGGTGAATGCTTGTAAACGGTTCATTGGCGGATCCAGGAGGGGGGGGGGGGTCCGGGGATTGGAATCCCCTTTATTTTTTTGTCAAATGGATAGAGAGAGAATGAAACGTTTTCCGAGAATAAATTAAAAAACAAGTATTTGTACGTCTAACTTATATATAGAATAGATAGATTTTCACACATTAAGTTTCTTCAACTCTTATATTCCTTTTTTATGAAAGAATAGTAGAAAATATTCAACTTATTTATATATATATATATATTATATATATCCAAAGTCTCTTTTTGTCAATATAATAAAAAACTTTAAAACACTTTTCGAAATATTTCAACCGTGTTACCGGCCTTCATCAGTCGAGTTTATTTCAATGCATAGCAACTCAACAGTATTATGACGTCACAATGAACATAGAAATTGAGAGGCAACGTCATGCAATAAAAATGCGCCAAAAACATCTGAAAATATTGTGAGAGCAAAAATTGTACTTGAGTATCAAAATTTTTATCATACAGAATAAATTACTAGAATACGGGGTATATTAAAAGGATGATTTTAAAGTATATATAAAAGTATATATGTAAAAATAAGTATCACAATGTCACACAAATGCTCATAAAGTTCATAAATCCAATTCAAAGACAGAAGTGTTCTCTTTTGTTAATACCAAATGGTATATAAGTGTTCAACTTTTTCTTCCAAAGATTTTCTCTATATTTGCGGTAAATGTCATTCTTATACAGTTTTTCAATGCCTATTATATTATAATCTTCTACTGTATGTACACCTGAATTAAAATGAGCAGCCACAGGATCATTTGTTTCCCTTCTTATTAAAGACAAATTCAAAACATGTCTTTGATATAAACTATCACCAGTTTCTCCCACATACACTATTTTGTCACACTTTTTACAAAAAATTCCATAAACAACATTCCTTGATTTACAATTAATATAATTTTTGACTTGAAAAGTGCATCCGTTATTATCTTCAAACTGGCTGGTTTTCACAACAAATTTACACAAAATACATTTTTTAGCACCACATGGCTCACATAAATTTCCTTTTTTAAAAAATAAATTGTTGTGTTTTTTATACACTAAAATGTCTTTCAAATTTTTGTCTCTTTTATAGGCAACGATTGGGATCTTTTTGAACGCGAGTTTCAGGCGATCGGAATTTTCAAGAATTTTTTGTCTTTTCTTCAAAATGTTATGAATATTCGGTAATCCTTTTGAATAGGTCAACACAAGGGGAACACGGTCACATCGCGTTTTATTTTTTCTATAATTTAGTAGATCTGAGCGATTGAGTTTGTCAACTTTCGTAAGTTGTTTTTCTACTTCGAAAAGTGTTTTAAAGTTTTTTATTATATTATATTATATTAAATAGATAGATAGATAGATAGACAGATAGATAGATAGATAGATAGATAGATAGATAGATAGATAGACAGATAGATATAGATAGATATATATATATATATATATATATATATATATATATATATATATATATATATTATAGCCAACACAGCCAGACTGCGGGAAATTGATATCAAATTAAACCTCGCATAATACATGATATAACATAATTTACATATATATACTTAAAATAAAAAAGAAAAACACGAAAAACTTCAGTAAAGCTCTAGGCCTTTCATTCCATCATCAGAAGCTTTACAAATAAACAACTGAAGTAACATAGTAACGTTACACAATAATTGGCGGAGTATATGATGTCGTTATTATGAAGTCAAATGAATTATGACGTCATAGTTAGCAGCTCATTGCGTACAGGTAAAAGTACGGGAAATTTTCAAGTTCTTAATAAAATGCAGATAAACATATGCATACATAATTAAATCTAATAGATATACATTACATCAGATTGTTAAGCTTTGGTTTTAACGCACAAATAAAATGTTTTTCTTTTTGGCGTCTACAAATATCATTTCCTCCTGCTACTTTATAAAACGGAAATATCGTAAATTTCTTTTGTCCGCACACGTCTAAATGTTCACTTAATGGTATTTGTCTATACTCTGGAGTGTTAATCTGTTGCTTGTGGGTACGAACCCTGGTATGGAGGGTGTTACTGGTCTCACCTATGTAAAATTCACTACACCCTGGACAGGTTATCACATATAAAACATTTTGTGTATCACACGACATATTGGCGTTCACTGTAAATTTTCTGCCGTTAAAGTTATAATAAGATCCTTCAGTTAAAAAATCACAGCTTCCGCATCGGGGATTTCCACATTTAGTCACTGAATAAGTTCCTTCAAAATTAGAATTACATAGGAGTCTTTTCAGGTTCTTGGGTTGACGTCTACTTGAGATAAATTTTACGTCTTTATAAATTGTCTTTGTAGTTTCGTCCTCTCTGAGAATTGTGTTCAGTTGGTGAACAATGGGGTTGACGTTCTGGTTCCTGGGATTATGCGTGTGCACAAAGGGAATAATATTCTCGTTAACTTCACGTCCTTTGGCTAAAAGTAATTCCGATCTTTCATGTTCCTTGGCTTTAAGTATTCCATCATCTATAAGCTGAACTGGATATTTCTGTTTAACAGGATACGTTCTTAGTTCATTTAAACGATTGTCCCTTGTATCTTTTTCACTGACAATGGCGCATATACGTCTGACAAGGTTATAAGGGATTGATGTTTTGGTATGATGCGGATGGCAGGAACCAAAATGTAAGTATTGGTGTGTATCCGTCACTTTGTAAAATATGTCAGTAACAATCCTTGTGTCCTTTCTAACAACGAGAACATCTAGGAATGGTAGTTAATTATCGCTGGTATCTATCGTAAATTTGATGTTGGCATTCAACTCATTTAATATTTTATGGAAAACGTCTAAATTTTTGTCACTTTCATCCCATAAAATAAAGCAGTCATCTAGAAATCTTTTCCATTTAGATTGAAGGTTATTGGCTATATCTTCTCCCCACAATGTTATGAGTCGTTGGTGAAGTTTGAATTCTAAGTATCCTAGAGTAAGTTTTGCGTACGTCGGTGCAACTTTTGTTCCCAAGGCAGTTCCTTTAGTTTGTAAAAAATGATTATTATCAAAGGCAAACGTATTATTTTGAACGACTAATTTCATTCCTTGAAGGACAAATTCTTGTGGAAAGCGATCGTGAAAAAGGTAAGGATGTTTTTCTATCCAGAATTTTATCGCTTCTATTCCAAGTTCCGTTGGAATGTTAGTATACAAACTAACAACATCAAACATAACTAATTTAATATTATCCTTAACGACGTCTGGTAAATGATTCAGGAAGTCAAGATCATCTCTAATGAAGCTTGATACGTTTTCACCGAATGGTTTCAGCAAAATATCTAACAAATGGCTTAGTCTTTGGGTAGACGAGTTAGGGCCTCCAACAATAGGCCGAAAAGATAAATCCTGAGGATTAAGGCAGGTAATATATTCAGAATTCTGAGATTCTATGGCATTCTTATTTTTCATTGATTTGTGAACTTTGGGTAAGCCGTAAAACTGACTTTCGCGGGCTTCAAAATTTATAAGATAGTCTCTTTCCTTGTCTGTTAATTCTTCAAAAAACGGTTCATGGACAAGACTTTTTATTTTTGACATAGATTTCTTTTCATGTGTTTTGTTAATCTTTTGATAAAATTCGGTGTTTTGTAACATGGCCATGATTTTATTTTCGTAAAAGTCCTTGTCCATGATGACCACTCCTCCTCCTTTGTGTGCCTCTTTAATGACTATAATTTTGTCGCTACATAAGTCTTTCAGGGCAATTTGCTCATTCTTAGAAAGATTTGATTTATTATTATTAAGTTGGTATCTGGAAGGTTTATGTTT